GACTGTGTTTCTATATCTATTTATAAATTCATGGTTTTATAATGTTGAAATAAAAATAAAGTTTGTATGCCTAACCTCATTTCTTTAAATAGGCATTCATTCTACTTATCGTTAGCTTCTAAAGTACTAAATTTATGACATAAACCTTTGTGGTGCTGCCTTCTTCAGAACTGTTAATGGATTTGCTGTTTCTTACAGAATTTCATAATGGATCAACACATAGAAATGTTACCAGTGTTCATTGCAGCCATCTTTCATGCTACATGCTCATGCAAGGTTAACATCTTTAAAGTGGAAGACTGAGAAGAGTATGGATAGAGTCCCTCAGCTTCCTTCCTGTTAACCAAAAGGAGAAGAGATGAGCATTTATGAATACCAAGGTTTAGTCACCAGGAAAAAAAGTTTTTGTAGATCTGAACAAAGAGGCATGGCCACTCAAACTGGAGGGTCAGATAGAGAACTGCACCTCCGTGGGCTTCTCATTGCACACTGAGGGAAGAGACCAACTTGGTATACAGAAGCCTTCTTGCTTTATTTTTCTATTTCTTGTTTTCTTTCCCTCATTTTCCTTTGCATATATTTCTCTTCTCATTTTTTTCTCTTCATCTCCTCTATTGTTATTCTTTTTTCCCTCCTTTGTTCCCCCACCCCCACTTTTAAAATTTCACCAGCAATTTTTCTTACCTGTTAAATTGTGTTTCAGGGTACTCACAACTGTAGGCCTACTTTTGCCCCACCCTGTATAAATGTATCAAATAATAATTTTTTAAAAGCTGAGAAGTCCTGATTCCACAAATAGTGCAGAGTGAATCTTTCCAAGTTTGAGAGCTTCATGTAATCTACACCATAATGGTTGTAGAGAAGGCACTATAACCCCCACTTAAACTGAAACATAAAGAGGGTATTTGTCCATTGATTTATGGGCCCACATTCCAAATCTCCAGATGCCCTTTCCTATGTTCTTTCTATTGCAAAAGGATAATACCTTCATGCATTACTTTCCAATTACCTCAGAGCATATAAAAGAATAATGGCAAAGAAAACGTGAACCAGAAGTGCAAATAGTAATCTCAGCTTTCCAGTCCAGTAGAGCCAAAGAATTTTACTGCAGGACATAGTGATCATTACCCCAGTCAGGAGGAAACTGCTGGACTGAAACAAATGAAAGAGATTGAGAAATGCTCTGGTGAAATCGGTGACATTTCACCTTATCCAAAGATTAACTCAGTGAATGGTGTAACTGAAAGAATGCGATTTAAAGACATGCCTGGCAAATACTGAAACTCAATGTTTTTCAAAGAGATTACTGTTAATAGCATGACAGTAAAACCTGCTTGTGATTAACAGGGAGAAAAGCTTCATCTGGGAGATCCTCCTGATTAGATAGGCCATTCCATGCAAACTGTCACAATAACCATCAGAAAGGCATCCTTGAAATACACAATGAAAGGTTTTAAAAGAAATTGGTTTACCTAGAGACTAAGGCACAATACAATTTAGTCCTTGTGTAAAAAGGTGCAGCCAGAGGAAATGATGGTGTGTCTTCGAGGGGTTCCAAAAAATTGAACAAAAATGAGAAACAGACTGTGTTGCTGTTTCATTCAATTTTCATCATTCAATGGCTACTCATCCTTTTTCCTACTCCTCACAGTCATGAACAATCTGGAACCCACAACAGAAGAGAAAACAGAGTCATCACCCCAAAGACTGTACCAGTCAAGCCTGGCCTGGAATTAATTTCAGGTCAATAAGGCATGCATGGGAGGAAGTGAATATACTTCCCTAACATTCAAAATTCACAGTCATCACTTAAAATAGAGATGATTTTATCAGCAAAATTAGAAAATACTTAATGTACATTATGGGGTTGAATGGAAGGTCAGACAAAGGCCAAAGGAAGATTATAAAGTGAGAAAGAAAAAGCCCTGATAATGAAAATATAAGTAATATATTAAAGTTCAAAGAAATAAATATGTTGGTTGTATTATAAATTTAAATGATGACTATGAAGAATATTTGTTCAAATGGAAAGATAAAATGGATGATAAAAATTTATGTGGTGTTGTTTTTTGTTTTGTTTTTTTTTCAGTTGGAATTGCAGGCAGTTTCCAAATTGAAACTAGATAATTTTCCAAAGGTAATTTGAAAGGTACTTATTTGGAGTGTAGAATATATGTTACCATGGAAACATTGAAAACTCTAAATTAGGTTCCTTGGTTACCTGTGAATTTGATTTAAACCAAATATGTAGCAAAGTAATATTTATATTTTGAATTAGTAGAAAATAAAACTGTTGCATTAGAACAGAATTGGTTACTGAGAGATGAAAAATTAGGGAAATAATTGTATGGAACTCCTGATAAGGGCTTCTGGGAGGTATCAAAGAATTTAGAATTTGATTGTACCAGATTATTATTTAGGTCCACTTTCACTTTCTTCTCTAGCCAACATCAGTTTCCTTAGTGATCACATCTAGTTTATTCTAAGATTTCCCAACTTTATAACTCTAGCTTAGACCTCTCTGCTCAACTGTTGTCAAGTATACTCAATGCTTTCTTGACCTTAAACTTAACATGTCCAGAACTGGATTTCTGATCCCCCTACCCCACCCCACCTCCAAACCCGACCCACCCTCCATTTTCCTCATCTCAGTTAATGGCAACTTTATTCTTCCATTTCTCCCTCCTCTTTTCTCTCATTACCTAAATCCCATCCTTTAGTATGTCCTCTTTATTGCCCCAGTTCTTCCCTATCAGAAGCAGCATTAATTGACTGTAAAGCTGGAAAGATATGCAAGAGGTAGATAATGACAGGACTTATAAGTCAGGTTAAAAGGTGGGCTTTATCTTCAAAGTCATGAAGTTCCACAGTTGCAGTTTCAGCAGGTTTGAGTTGCAGGAAAAGCATTGTTAACTGCTGGAGCTAGAGACCAGACAGAATGCTTTGGGCTGTTTTTTTTCCTTTCCATTAAAAAAAAAGTGTCTCTGTGATGGATGATCAGAGTAAGTGAGAACAGAGCATTTGTGAAATAAGTATTTATTCTTTCAGGTATTCAAGTTATTTGTTTTTTTCAATTTACTCAGCTAATATATGAACTCTTACTCTGTGCCTGCTGGCATTGTTCTAGCAGGGTAAGGCATTGTTTGCAATACCTTTGCATTACATCCAGAATTGTACTTTCATTTCTCATTTTCTCTAGTTCATGACACCATGACCTCTTAGCTATATTACTGCAACTTACTCCTAACTGGTCACCCTGCCTTACTCTTACCCTCAAAAGTCCCTATCAGCACAGCAGCCAGAAAGGTCATGTGAAATCATTAGTTAGCTCATGTCTCTCCTCCACTCAGAAACGACTCCCATCCCACTGAGAGTAAAGTCAAAAGTTTACATTGCTGTGTGCCCCATCCCCAACCCCTTCGAGTTCATCTCCTACTCTGCTCCTCATGCTCATGTAACTCCAGCCTTACTGGCCTATTCCTCTTCCTTGAGCACTCAGTTCTGATGCTCCCTTAGAGCCTAACCCTGCTGTTCCCACTGCCTGAATGTTCGCTACATAACCACACAAGGAACCCGCACCTCACCCCTACTGGGTCTTTGCTGAGAGGTCTTCCATGGCCATCATATCTTTTTAAAAAACTCCCACCTCCCCTGCCACTCTTTGCATGTCCCATCTCTCTCTCTCTCTCTCTCTCTCTCTCTCTCTCTCTCTCTCTCTCTCTCTCTCTTTTGCTTTCTTAACTACTATTACCATTTAACAGATTATACATTTTACTTATTTGTTCATTGTCTATCTCTCCCATTCTAGAATGTAAGCTCCATGAGGGAAATGACTTTGTCCCGGTACCTAGGACGATGCCAGCAGGCATAGAGTAGGCGTTCATATATTTATTGGATAAATTGAAGAAGAAAAAAACAAACACACAAATAACTTAGAAACCTGAAAAAATAAATATTTACTTTGCAAGTGCTCTGTTTTTACTCTTATCCATCACAGATATAGATATATATATATATCTTTATAGATATAGATATATATAGATATAGATATATCAGATATAGATATATATATATATCTATATATAAATAGAAAGAAGAAAAAAAGCATTCTTTGGTCTCTTTAGCTCCAGCAGTTAACAATGCTTTTCTTGCAACTCAAACCTGCTGAAACTGCAACTATGGAACTTCATGACTTTGAAGTCACCTTTTACCCTGACTTATAAGTCCTTTCATTGTCTACCTGTTGCATATCTTTCCAGCTTCACAATCAATTAATGCTGCTTCTGATAGGGAAGAACTGGGGCAACAAAGAGATTTCAAATCATTGATGACTCCTTTGATCAATGGTTGATGCTGCTGGATCCAGGGAGCGTGGTCACTGTGAGAGTTGGCCACCTGCTACTCTTATGTATGAGATGGTCCCTAAGTTGTCATACATCACTCACAGAGTGCCTATGCCTTATAAGGTTACAGTGCAGTTGCTTTACCTACACCTTTTACCTTGAATTAAATGTTATAGAAAACCGCTCTACAAAAATATTTTTCAAGTGAAGCTGTTCTACTTAAGATAATGGGGCTTTGAGGGGTTCGAGGTCCAGCCCTAAGCACTCAGCTACCTTATGGCGAACATGGCCCCTGCGGCCCCTGTGAGCAACTACTGCCATTGAGGTTCCAAGACAGAGACTCTCAGACAGCCTGACAGTGCACCCACACAAGAAAAGAAAACCTTTCAAAACAGCCACTTTATTGGTTATTTACAAAGATTGCCTAAGAAACTGAAATGCACTTTGCTGTCCTCTCCTCCTCTGTTTAGTGTGTGACAAATAGCAACATTTCCAAATGGCAGGAAACAACAGAACGAGAAATATGTCAGCGTGTGCGTCTGCATGGTGCAGGAGACGGAACATTAGGCGGGTTTTTGCCCGATGACTGGCTCCCGGAGGAGTAATTAGGATTTGGCGCACTTCTTACTGGCCTTACCTCAGCTTCTCTGCCCGGATTCTGAGAAAAGGTTTGTTGTTTCAGTTCAAAAATTGCATTTTAGACCAACTCTTCAGAGTGCACGTAGGGACAAATGGTTTGAGTGTTTAGCAAGCGGTGTTTGTATTCACATCCTGTCTCTGTCCATGGCAGGTTTATTTTTCAGAAGCCTAATAAAAAGAGATATTAAAAATTGAAAGTGGAGTTTTTGCTGCCAGAAGATGTGATTTTTATTTTTAGAGGCTCTCGCAGTTCTTTGTCATGCCATTTGAGAATGGGTAAGATTATTTTCAAATTGAGAAATAAAACCCTATCCAATTTTGAAGACTCAATTTGAGCCAAACAAAATCAACCTGAAGTATGAGAAGGGCTATTGCCAATGCAAATCTAATAATATCTCTGCCTTGCAATGAAACACATATATACATCCATGAATAAGTCTATTTTTTAACATTCAACACTGTTCTCCCCACCCTCCACTGCCTTACAACAAAAAACAGCTCCCAGGGGTCCAGGAAAGCTATTGGAAAGAACTGGTTAGGCATTCTTGACTTCAACTTACTAGTATGACTTTGGAAGAACTAAGAAAAATGAGCAGTTATTTATAGGATACTGTTATGTCTATCTTATTTCAAGACAGAACAAATTGCAGTAATGTCTTCAAATAGTCCTTCAATGAATCTGGAACAACTAAAGGATAAATGTCTACCTATAGCTATATCGCATTGCACCCTTCTCTCAAACACACTAACAGCTACAATGTATGCATGCCACCCGTGGGAACCACGCCAGAGAAGCCTAGTAGTCAAGGCCAATTAAAGCTCAGAGGCCTTGTTGTCAATACACTGGACTGTCCAAGGCCACTCCGCACCTAGGCTAAGATACCATACACAGATCTCATGGTACGCTGTTCCCTTCTGTAACCCAAATGATTGATGTCACTGTTGGCAACTAGCTTTCTTTATCTCTGGAGTAATATATAGGTTACTGACCAGCTAGTGTAAGAAGCAGAGAGCAGCTGGGCAGAAGGAGTGTGAAGAAGACGAAGCTGGAGAGATGGAGCTGAGAGCTGGTACTGCTACGATGTAAGGATAAGAGCTCATAGAGAGCTCAGATATAGCTACCATGTTAACCAGCCAGTGTGCTGGGCAGGGGAGACAGGAGAAGCTGCTGAGCCAGAGAGCTTAGGTACCGCTATGATGTGAGGCGGTGAGTCTAGGGCGCACCATTTCTCTCCACTAATACTAGCAGCGAATATTCTAGTAGCCGATTGCCACATCATTAGTCTTGGACTGACCTGTTTGGTGTGTATAACAGGAAATATTTCACTTTCGGAGATCAAGAAAAATAGGTTTATTTGCGTTACACTTATTAATTGGTGTAGTTGTTCAGTGTCTGGTAAGTTAATGTTCAGGAAAAAATACTAATTTTATTAAAATGTCCTATTATTTATGTTAACGATTACTCATTTATTTCAGCCCTTTGTATTCAGCATGTCTCTATGGAAATAAACCTACAAAAATTAAAGCTATGTTTCTACAAAAATTGTTTTTTTGGTGGCCCACATAAACTTAAACCTTATTTATTTGGCTCGTGTTAGCCTTTGAGTTTGACATGTTTGCTGTAGAAGAAATTAGGTAACAGAGGTCATAGTGCAACACCATCTCCTTCTCCTTTGTCCAACACAAAAGTTTCCACTTCTCCCACAGGTCTCAGACATACAGAAGGTGAGCTGGGTGACAATGGTCCCATCTCCCAGAAGCACTACCCTCTCAGTGGGATTTTGTGATTTGAGCACCTTTTCCAACTCTGCAGATCATTTGACCTTTACTAGCAAATGCTTTCATAGCCTAGAAGAAAACTTGTTTTCAGTTCCAAAACAGCGAGTACTCTTCATAAATTCATTTTCCACATTTTTGTGTAAATAAGGCGAGCCTATGATGATATGTTTATGCATTTTCCAGGAGTCAGGAAAAAAATACCATAGGGGAAATACTATTTATAAATGATGAAAATGCGTGCACACGCACACATTCAGAGATGCAGAGAGCAGACTCAGCCCTGTGGTCATGGCGTCCTGTCAATGAATAAGAACTGAAAGCCAGGAAGGTGAACTCACCTTCAGAACTGATAAGAGTCATTGTTTAGCTTTCCTTTATTCTTTGTTTTGATCTAAGGCTGCCTCTCCTATCACTTTCTCCCTTGACACAGTCTCTCATTGTCAACGTAGAGGCTAAAGAAAATTGTTCTTTCCACATAAGAGCAATATTCTCCCCTCCTTTTGTCTTTTCTAGGAAATTAGTAGCTCATGTTCCATGAGCTGGAGTGTTTTACCTTATCTTTTTCCTAGAAGAGAAGGGGGAATTTCAAAGCCATAATTTAGAATTATTCTGTCCACTTTATCCTAAATGGATTCTGTTCTCATTGAAATTTTTATCTCTAGACCTTACTAAAGATTATATTCAGACTCACCTACAGGCCCACAATTGTGCTCTCTTAGGAGCTGAGGTCTTTAGAAACACAATGACATGTGACAGGCTTTTGAATTGGGCTCTAGAAACTGTGTCTTTTATGGCCAAGTGGATTCCTTGCCATTTTAGAAACCAGTCTCTACATTGTCTTATAGAAGGACCTGAGAAACTGAGGGTTTTCTAAACAGACGGTACTTTCCCATTGTTCCAGGACAGACTTACGGAGATTTGTTGCTTCTTAAAATATTTATTTGAAACTTGAGGTCTAAAAATAATATCTAGTCATCAGATGGAAGCTTCCATTTAGCCCTTTATCATACAAGTACCAAGGGTGATGATGAAGACTAACGCTGCAGGCTGTGACAGCTTTTTACTGTGCAATTCAGTTTCAAGAAAATTTACATGGCCAAAAGCTGGGTGACATTCTTCCAGGATGTACCAGTTCCCCTATCAAGTTTGTTTTATTTGTCTTCTTTTTTTTTTTTGTCTTTTGTTAATCCTCATTCCAGGATAATTTTTCCACTGATTTTCAGAGAGAGCAAAAGGGAGGGGGGGGTGCAGAGAGAGAGAAATATCAATATGAGAGAGATACATCAATTAGTTGCCTCTCACATGAGCGACTGGGTCCGGGGATCAAATCTGAAACCTAGGTTTGTGTCCTTGACCTGGAATCGAACACATGACCCTTTGGTCTTTGGGCCATCCTCTAACCACTTAGAAACACCAGCCAGGGCCCAGTCAAGTCTTTGATGACTGGCATCTCTTTGGATTGGTTGGAACTTATGCTATGCCACTGCTTAAATAGATTACCATCTAGTCCAATTCCTTATTTTAAAAATAAGTCAGATCTCCATGAAGACTATGTTATGTCATTTGAATTCCACTTTAATACCCTTTCACTAACTTATGTGGTCATCCTATATAATGAAGAGGTAATATACAAATTGACCATCATGCCCTTGCACAAGATGGCTGCCCCCATGTGGTCAAAGATGGCCACCACAAGATGGCCAGCATGGGAGGGCAGTTAGGGGCAACCAGGCTGACAGAATAGGGCAGTTGGGGGTGACCAGGCCTGCAGGGGAGGGCAGTTGGGGGCAATCGGGCTGTCAGGGGAGCAGTTAGATGTCAATCAGGCTGGCAGGGGAGTGGTTAGAGGTGATCAGGCTGGCAGGCAGAAGTGGTTAGGGGCAATCAGGCAGACAGGCAGGCGAGCCGTTGGGAGCCAGCAATCCCAGATTGTGGGAGGGATGTCCAACTGCTGGTTTAGGCCCTACCCACAGGGCTCCCAGATTGGAGAGGGTACAGGCTAGGCTGAGGGACAACCCCCAAGTGCACAAATTTCAGTGTACTGGGCCTCTAGTCTATATATAATAATGAACCATATTCTAACAATACTTCACTGTTTTGATAATTGAAAGCAGCCTTACAGTTCAGTATACAAGCTCAATTATTCTACAGCATTTAATAGTTTTCTAAAAATACATAGATAGTTACAGCTTAGTATGCACACATATCTCTTCTCTGACCATAACACGATAAAAAACAAAGCTCAGAAGGGTTCATCCAGGAGCAGTAGAAAGAAAATGAAATTTGCCAGGTTCTCTGGATTCTAGTCCTGATTGTCACCAATAATTTTGTGACTTTGGGCAAGTCTAAAAGATAGGTGCTTAATTTGAGATTCTCAGTTGAGTGGTTAGACTAGGTGATGATTGAGATACCTTTCAACACTGAGATTCTTTTATTTCCTAATCTGTTTACCAGAAATTAGTATAATATACTCTTCTTACTGACCTTTCAAGAATCACGATGGCCACAGCAGAGTTTACCTACCAAGTAGCTCTGATTTCTGGTAAGCCATTGTAGCAAAGGCTGTTAGCCATCCACTAATGTCCACTTGCTACTTCTTTCTGGTATTAAAATACCCCACCCAGATTTTCACAGGGTTTAAGACAATTCCTGGCCTCTTTTGCAACTAGGCTCTGTGACTAAGTTCTGACTAATGACATGTGAGCCAGGAGTGGTGTGTATAATTTCCAGGTTTCACCCTTAACTAGGAGGGATGTGCCCCCCACTTCCTCTTTGCCCTGTTTCATTGTCTGGAGAGAGTGGTTATAGCTAACCCATATTGGACACAGAGATGGAAGCTGTATGTTAAATATACCAGGGTTAATATACCAGCCCTGTATTGCCTACTTCCAGACAGGCAGATAAGTGAAAAGTAAATTCTCACTGCACTGTGAGTATCTTTGTTTTAATAGCCACCAGTGAATGCTGTCATGGAATAAAATGAAGAATCCTAGTATTACTGGAGAAAGTAGAGGGGCAGATTTCCCAATGCTCATGGGAGTGGGGTTCTTGGGAAACCACTGAAATAAGCATTTTCAGAAGCCCCCACAGGAGAATGAGATGTGGTAGAAGACTTTATATGGGTGGAGTTATAGTTCTCGGGTTGCAAAGTCCCCTGCCCCTACCCCAGTCCTGAAGAAGGTGCAGCTGGGGTTCCAGTAGAGCCAAAAGCAGGGCCAGGGTCCAGAGCTTCCATTACATGTTGCAACCAGGGCCAGTCCAGCATCAGACTAATTAAAGTCCATTAGCTCACTGTGTGGAGCCCATATGGCTGAGAACCACATGGGCAAATGCAGGGGAATGCACCCTCTGCAACAGGAGTCAGGTGCAAACAGCAAGCAAGAGAGCCG